GCATCACTTAGGAGCTTAAATAAATTAAAAGAAATATAACTAATTTTCCAAGTTTTATTTAATTGTTATATATAGATGAAATATATTGTGCATTGACAAGCAATACGTGGTGCTTGGATCTTCTTTTCTTACAAGGGAAACAATGAAAATAATAAAACCAGAGAGAGCATGTGTGTGGATGAGAAAGTTTTGTCTCAATTAATACTTTTTTTTTTTTTTTCCGAAACGATAGAAATACTATAAAAAGCTCAAAAGAGCAACGAGTACAAATTACACGACCCCAACAGGGTAATCTACGACCCCAACAGGGTAATGAGACAGGGGCCAACGGCCCAAACCAAAAACACTCCTAGAAAAGAACAGGAATAGCAAACTGAGAGGACACGCACATGGCGGCCTAGAGAACTCAACAACCGAAAATAAAGGAGAATAAATAACAGAGCCACTGCACAATGCCTAGCCTGTATTCATTCCCAAAACAAAGGTAACCAAACACACTGAACAAAGAAAAGAAAACGACAAACAAACTAAAAGAAAACACTTTACGAACAACCAAAACAAAATAAAACGACCCTCTCCCGGAGAGACAAACTAAGCCGAAGAAGCAGCTACAACTGACCACAGGAAAGGTCCCTAGCCGAGCCCGAGCCCCCGAAACTGCCGCAGGCCTAACAAGAGGCAGGGCCCCGCCCCCGAACCCAACCAACGGACAGCACCCACTGACCGAGGAGAACAAGCCCAGCCACCCCAACCAGCAACCCGAAAAAGGCTAACACCACTAGCCCTGGCCGAGAATACCGGATCCCACGCAACCCAAAATGAGCTGCTCCAGGATAGCGGCTACCTGCCCGAACTCCAACTCCGGCGACTACCACTTGACACACACAGCAGCCACCAAAGCCCCACCCGACCACCGCCGACCCTCATCCACAGCCCCAAATGAACAAACACCCACTCGCCACCTCTGCCCACTACCCAGCCGGAGCCGAACCCCAGCTAATCGACCCAATCCCACACCAATACGCACCACGACACCCTATCGGGCCAAATCTAGCCCATTCAGACGACCCCATCGGAGAAGTCTCGGAGCCCCAATTGAACCCTAACCCCCAATCTCTCCAAAATCCAATTCCTCCAACCTAAACCAGAGCAAGAGGGAGAGAACTTACCGAGCAGCAACAACGAGGACACCGCCGGATGACGATCGGGACCGCCGCCGTTCTCCACCCACCACCAGACGAGAGACGAGGGAGGTTGCTATGGCTACAGATCGAGGAAAATCGACAGCAAGGGAGGATGGGCGGCCAGCGACGGCCGCAGAGACGGCGTCGCCGTCGCCGGAAGAGGTCAAACCGATTGATTGAGAGGAGCGCGGTTAGGTTGAGGGCCGAGAGAAAAAGTTTTCGTCGGAGGTTAAAAAACTTTTTTGAAAACAAATATTCTCAAAAAAAAAAATCTCATCTCTTATCTATAAAGATTTTAAAAAATAAAATAAAATAAAAATCAATTCATAATTACTACTAGAAATCCATTATCTACTTTAAAAGGCTAATTTTCATCGGTCTAATTACTAATATTTTTACAAATATTATAAGCTAACAATACATTCTCGATGTGTAATCAAATATTTTATTAGATGGTCCGTAAATTCGGTATTATCTGACATAATGTCTTTATTAAATTATGCTCATAATATTTTAGATACTTTAAACGAATTGTTTAGACATTTTTTTTTACTATATATACATATACACATACATAATTGATGTTAAATTTAAATATTTGTAGACATGTTTTCCTTACAAAATAGTCTAGAAAAATCTTTTTTACGCCATGTTAAATTCAAATGTTTTTAGATATGTTCCTTCTAAAATTGTTTAGAAAAATTGTAGGTGACTTCACATCTTTCAAAAATAATATAGAAAATTTTGATTACTCTTACAAATACTAATATAATATTTTAGGTATTTTTAATATTAAACATACAAATTTTATATTCTCTTATACAAAATAATGTAAATTTTATATTCTCTTATACAAAATATTTTTACATTGTTTGACCTCGAATCTTTAATTTATAATTATTAAGTATTGTTTATTCTCCTCTTTAATTTATAATTATTCTTTTTCTTCTTTTTTTTAAATAAAATCAATGGTAGTTTCTACTTTCGCACGGGGTCTATATTGTTCCCGTGCATCGCGGGTACAAAAAGTAACGAAGATGACGACTCATGCCTCTGACCCGTTATTTGTTGGGTCGAGAAGAACAGTCAAGTTGGCCCATTTACTGAGGTTTTTCAGCCCAATAAATTATGTTTGTTGTGAACAAAAAGTTCAGTGAAGTAGTTAATAAGCAAAGGAATATTGTGTGGCCCACAACCTTTCTCATTTTTTAGCATATGAAACTTGAGAGATGTGATCCAAATTTACAGATTGTCTGATCCATGATTTCCAACCATTCTCTGACTAGTTTTTATTTAATTTATTTATTTATTTTGCAACATGAAAATAAGGTCCATTTGGATATTGGAATATTCTATGGCTTATTTTTCTATTTTTCAATTTGCGTGATAAAGCGGGAGGATATTTGGATATTTCTATTTATCAAGCCCTGATAGGACAGTTCTTTATTCTCTACCTTCTCATAAAACAAGGGCCTCTTCAAATTTCCAAAAGGTAGGTGGGAAATTTTTACACATACTACATGAAATAAAAAAAATTTCAATATTACCTTCCTAGAACAATTAATAGGATATATAACTAATCAAGCTATTTTATTTACGTAATTGCCTAAAAATCAGTTATCTTTTGTAACACTTTCTATCCATATCAGTTATCTTTTGGTGGCGTGATTTACTCATTTAATTCCTTAATTCCCGCAACTGGAATTCTTTAATTCACGCATCTCTCAGATGGTATATATTGAGTTTATGATAGTATATATTCAGTATATGTGCGCAACTGAAATTCCTTAATTCACGTAGCTCTCAGGTAGCTCTCAGGTGGTATATATTAAGTTTATGTTAGTATATATTCAGTATATGTGCGCAACTGGAATTACTTAATTCACGCGGTTGCGTTTATGTTAGTATATACACAGTATATGTTGCAATGAAAAAAATGTCTTCCATCAAAAATTGTATCTTCCTCTTTTTTTCTTTTATACATAAAAGTATATATATAGTTTAAAAACATATTATAACATATTACTTAATATAAAACCATACATATACACAACACCAACAAAAAAATTCAGTTTATGCTATTTTTAAATAAATTTTATACATAAAAATTAGGTCCCGCGATAAATTTCTTTATCATATAACGAAAATATACTGAGTATAAACCATACATATACAAAAAAAATAAAATCATCAATTTATGCTTTGTCAGTNAAAAAATCATCAGTTTATGCTTTGTCAATATAAACCCTACATACATATAAGGTAGCCCTTATATTATACAGAACATATACCCTATATATACACAACATATACTCGATCAATTCATGGCCCCCGCTTTCAAATCCTAATGCCAACAATCACATCCCCTCTGAATCAAAGTTGCACCATCTTCATTCGAGTCAACAAAACAAGTACCCGAGTGTGTTCTAGGATTAGAAGGCTTTCTTTTCCCTGTCAGACTGAGGAGTCCTCCATCGCAATCTGAAACAATAACCAAGAGGCATCAATCATCATCAAGAAGGTACCAACCCATTTCAGCTAAATAAAAAATAACAATAAAATTTCACAAAATTTGAACATATAAATCCAAATTCGACCTCATTACCATCCCAAATTAAACATTCAATACAATATTAAATAGAAACTTATCACGCAGCGCCAAGAAATTCGAGCAAAGAGAAGATAAAAACTTGCAAGCAACACTAACTTGTCCACACATAAATGGAAAACAAATCACTCCCTATTTCAAAACAACAATAAAAAAGTATCAGATACAGTTTAAAGGTTTTGTGGGTGAAGGGGAATGAGAGTACCAAGAGTTTATAAATGCGGGAACCAGAAGCAACGTAAACTCAGCAAGATGAAGAGTTCCCATTGGCCTGCAATTGCATCCACCCAATCGTTCATTGTTGTTGTGCAGGCTTGTCTTCATGTGATGCTGCGTGGACTTCTTCTGCGTCCTGGACGAGCACTCTATCGGCAGCCCAAAAACTGTCGCCGCCCACCGTTTGTTGTTTTTTTTTTTNGTAGAGATGGGGAGTTTTGATGTCGCCGTTGAGAAAAATTGGGGAAAGGAATGAAGTTTTTTGCACAGGATTGGAGATGGTAGACGGTTTTGCAGAGAGAGATAATATCTCCTTGATATTTGGTAATAATGTATCTTACCAATTAATGATCCACTCACATTTAAACGCAATAAAAACTGTTCAATTGGATATTAGGTATATTTGTAATATTTAATGGTTGATTTAGTTATTTTATAAATAAAGTTAAATTGGGTGTGTAAGTGTAATATAAATCATATATGATGGTAAGGGGTGTAAATTCCTCAAGGTAGAACAGCTAAAATTCCAAATGCTCGATTTTTATATTAAAAAGAAAAATAAAATACTACTTTTTTCTAAAACAATAAATAATAACGAGCAAATACTTTTTTCCCTTTGATTTCTCCAATGTTATTATAAAAAGGTGATTAGGTAAACAACAAAAATATTTTATTTAAAATAAAAAACAAACATTCTACATGTTGACCAATACTCTACATTAATATATTAATGGTATAATATATTAAATAGTGTTCAACAATCCACCAAATAAATTGTGGGTTATCTTAGCTAAATCGAATTGAGCAGTTCGTGTGCCTATCTTCATTCATTAAGACTCGAAAAATAAAAATGTTTACGCCATTTTATAAATTATTGCTATAATATGAATAAAGTCGGAGCTCGTATTGTAAATTTTAATATATGATCAAGCACAAATTCGTTTATTAATTCTATTATTAACGAATTGAAATCGGCACAGTTTTATCAAAACTCGAGCTCGAGCCTCGAGCTAATGGGTGGCGCCAATTGTGACCGCTCCTTTTTAACCGTCAAAAGCCCCCAAAATTATTCCATTTTCCATTTGGTCGCCCGCTACGAATTCTTTTTTTTCTCTCCACTCATTTTTTTTTTCTCTTTCTCAACAAAATAAACAAAATACCCTTTCTTCCTTCGTCACATCTCGCCACAGGCCGCGGCGGAGCACATGGCGGCGCCCCCAGCGGCGGACGACTCCTCGTACTGGGCCTTCGATTACGAGCTGCTCGACGACCTGCCTCCTGTCGAGCCTTGCTTCCAGTTGGTCGGCCCACCGAATGCTCTGCCTCCTTCAGCTTCTCTCAGGTGACTGTTAAGAGTATCAGTTGACTTGTAACTACAAGACGAGCATTATTTGGGATTTCAATTTTAGACAAGTGTGATTCAATTAGGATTCTAGGGTTTTTTTTTTTTTCTTTCTGTGTTTCTTAATTTAGGTCTCAGTTTGTCAGAGTGAAATCTGGTGGAGCTTTTATTGATAAGATTCTGTGTGATTGGTTTTCTTGATGTGGGTTTGCTTGATTGTGAGCAAAATTGATGCTTTTTCTTTGACTATTTTTTCAGTACAGAGCTTGACCACTCATACCCAAATCCAGATTGTGTGAAGAACTTTGGTTCGAGAAAACGGTACGTCTCGCATTTGTTGCTCGTGTTGGCCAAAGTATGAAGCTCAATGTATTTGTTTTTTTAGTGAAGAATCGAATCTTTGGCCTCTAAATGTATAAGGAAACTTGAGATGTAATGTTGTTAGCATCAATGTATGAAACTTTACCTTTGCTCGTTGTCTTCATACTGAACCATGTTATTGATTGAATTAAGCGAGATTTTTGTAGGTCGAGATTGTCGTTTTATCACAATTTTTCCCCCTTTTGAAATTTGCCTGATATTGTGATAGGTTGAGATCGAGTGCGTTTGAAGTTCAATGTGTCTGTTTTTTTAATGAAAAATCGAATCTTTGGCCTCTATGTTGATGTATAATGAAACTTGAGATGTAATGTTGTTAGCAGCAATGTATGAAAACTTTACCTTTGCTTGTTGATCGAGCAAAGTGTGAATTTTGTATGGCAAAATTTTCCCACTTTTGAAATTCGCTTGATATTGTGATAGGTTGAGATCGAGCGCGTGTGGTGCATCTGATTCGAAGGCCTACAAGGAGAAAATTCGTAGGGATAGGCTCAATGAAAGGCATATTCCTTTTTTTTCCCTTGTTAATTTTGTGATATGTTATGAGTTATGACTTATTACTCCTTGTTTTGTTCAATATTGAGACTTTTTATTCGAATCCAAGGTTTCAAGAACTTAGTTCTATATTGGAACCCGGAAGGCCTCCTAAAATGGACAAAGGTCTTATATTGGGTGATGCCATTCGAATGGTGACTCGACTAAGGGAAGAAGCCCAGAGATTGAAAATATCAAATGGTGATTTGCAAGGAAAGGTCAATGAGTTGAAGGTTTGTTCTCTCATTTCTTGGTAACTAACTCAACTAAGGGAAATTAACTTAATGCCTTATGATTGCGCATTTGATCCAAAAATTGCAGACAGAGAAAAACGAACTTCGAGATGAGAAAATGATGCTAAAAGCAGAGAAAGATAGGCTCGAGAAGCAAATGAAGGAAGTAACGAACGCTCGACCAGGAGTTTTACCTCATTTTCCTCAATTTTTACCACCTCACAAACTTGTTCCTGTTATGGGATTCTCGGGGATTCCAATGTGGCAGATGATGCCGCCTACAGCGGTCGATACCTCGGAGGATCACACTCTCCGCCCACCGGTAGCTTGAGCTTTTGGAAATTCCAACTGCTTTCCGGTAATAATTGCCAATAAACTTTGTTGACATAATTATTCTTTTCCCTAATTGTGAGGTCTCTGTGCTGATGAGAATAGATTTACTGTGATTGATTATTCTGGGATTATGGACTTTATTTAATTTCATTGAGTTACCTCTACATGTGGATAAAATGCTCACAATTTTACCTGGTTGTACGTGGATATCTTCTCATTGGCCTTATCGAGCAAAATTGATTTTTTTTTTTTAACCACCTGCTCAAGATCTATTGAAATCAAAATGCTCGAAAGACGAGCTCGAGTTCTACCGAAATTTCAAGTAAAATTACCATTAAGTACATATATTAAAATATCGTAATATTTATATAACGGGTATTTTAGTAATTCACGACATATCTCGAGCCGCTCGAATTAGTTTATTTGAACTGTGACCCGTTTCAAAATAACCGAACTCTCTAACAAAATTACGTGCAATAAAACGAGTGGAAAATGAAAAAACTCAGCAAGGTTTTTTGAACCCCATACTCTTCCCGCTCATGTAATCTCTCCATACATCCACAGCCCCAAAACCAGTCATGAAAATGGTACTCAGAGCCATGACAGTACCAACCGAGAACACTATGAGTGAGGCCCGCCCATGTCTCAAAATGGCCCGTTGAACTAACGTAAGCCCGGCCCAAGAGGCTACGAAACAAATGGCCGCAAAGGCTAGGGGCCCGCTTATGTCTTCCATGCCCAATAACAAGTATTGAGTTGCTGACATTGATGATGAGAATAGTACCATAAACGAACAAGTTGATGCTGTCACCTGAGTCCCACGAGGCAAAATTTACAACTAACAATCAGCAAAATTTCGAAATTTGTAGTTTTTTAACAAATCGAATATTTAATTTCGTGGTGAAAATCATACATATAAAACAGAGTGGAAGGCTAGAAGCATAGCTTACTTCAGGTTCAATTCCCATTTGGAGAAGAAGTGGACTTATGAGCATTCCCCCTCCAATTCCGAAAATGCCCCCAAGAATCCCGGCTAATAGAGCCATTAAAGGGAAAACCGGAGATCGACAATGCGCGGGTTCATCTACATTGACCTATAAAAGGAGCCATAGGATTCAAATTAGAATCAAGAAAGTCAATGCAGACACAATCTTACATTCCAAAAACTCGTTCGGTGTGAAAGAAAAAAAGAATTTTTTTTGAGCACCTGTCGATAAGTTTCAGAAGTTATAACTTTTGTTCTTATTCTACTATGAAGCATCCATATCGTGAAGAAGATCGCTAGAGGAATTTGAGCCGATGAAATTATCCAGTATCCCGTCCCGCAAGTCTCTATTTGTATTATGCCCTACAAAATTTTCAAAATGTTTAGTATTAACAAGATTTTGAGCATGATTGTAATAAAACAAATTGTTACATGTGTAATAAAAATGCATAATTTATGTAATGAAACGTATAAAGTGTGATATTTCAATTTGAAAATATGCACTTGTGTCAAAAAAGTTTTCATATTTGTAAAAATGTTTCACTTGTTTCTCCCTTTTTTTCTCTATTTGGAAAAACAATGGATAAGTACAACTCTCACTAAGAATATGCATGATGCGCACAAGTTGCTGTCTTTTTTCTTCTCCAATTTTTGCACCTTCAAAGTCTGAAAGTAACCATACAACTTTTTTCTTTATGACTCTTGAACCCTTTTCCCCAAAAAAGATTTAAAATATGCACATACAAAATCCTTGAATCAATTTTAAGTCAAACTTCTGGACCATTCATCAATTTTCTTATTTAACTATTAAAAACATANCCCCAACGTTTTGTACCATTCATAATTGAGAAAATGATTGCCTAAATTTAGTGATGGATCAACGCAAAACATTAAATTTGTCAAATTAGTGAAAATTGTTCAATGAGGATATTATTAAATGACTGTCATGTATATATTTTCATTAACCCAAAGTATGATAGTGTAGTTTGACTCATGGCTAAGGGTGTTAAGCCCGAACTCAAACTCTTAATACTGGTTTGAGCCTTAATCAAGTTAATTAAGCTAAAATTTATTTAGATGCTGGACTTATTTATTAATAATAAATAGTCGAATTATAGAAAATTATACAAAAAAAAAAATCGTATTTTCCGAGCACTAGCGAGCAAAACTTGTTAACTAAGCTTTAGACAAGCTAGAGTTCACCTCGTTTAGATTAACAGTTTATTTAACTAGTATTCGACCTGTGCATTTGCACAGATATAAATAAATTATTGTGAGTCTGTACATATAATGATTAATTATTTTTCTTTCACTTTTTTGCAGACTAAATTTACAATTAAAAGAGTTGAAATATTTTTTTTTTTAAAATTGCGTTTATCTGATTGGATGTAATGTATATTTTGGTACGTCTTTTATTTGTGAATAATTTATTATTTATTTAGGAATTTCAAATATATTTTTTATTTTCAAAAAAAAAATTAAATGTAACAACAATAATAACATCTAATCACATTATACGGTCAACACATTATATGGTCAACTGTCATTAATCAAAAGTTTAAAATGATTTTTGTAATTTTGAAGTGATGAGTATTAATTATTTAATGATTAAATGAAAAATTAAATACATCAAAATGTAACGGTTTTTGGAGGGAAAATTGTTAAATTGCCACATAGGTAAAATTAAATAGGTTTTATTAAATTCTATTAGCTAGTAATTATATATATATAGATTGCAAATTAAAAAATAATTTATAATTAAAAATTACATAAACTCAAAAATAAAGGACAATTTATTTATTTTATTTAGTTTTTCTCCCACTCACCTGACCGTAGCGATTTCCACGAAGCAAGTAGAGGACAAAAAAGGATAACCATATAAGTACAAGCATCCCCAGCTTCACCCACGGAATTCCCATTTTGCCCTCAACCTCCCCACCATCCAGCAGAGGCTTTTCGGTACTTCCACACGGACCCACCCGCTCCGATTCGAGCTTCCAGAAGACAAAACCCGACCCGCACGTCCTGAACGTGCAGAAGGCCAAAAACACGGCGAAGATGGCCGTGATCAGCCACTCCGGGAACACCACGTTGCACACCACGCCGCCGCTGACGCCGAGCAGCATGCACGGCTCTGCCAGCAGCGCGATCTCGTAGTCGATCATCGGCCGGGAGCCCCGCAATTGGCGGCCGACGGCGGCGATCGAGCCGCCGGTGACCATGAACGCCGAGTAGGCGGCGGCGGATTTGAGGTCCAGGCCGGCTACGGTGGCGAGAATCGGCACGAAGAGGCCGCCGCCGCCGATTCCGCCGGCGCTGGAGACCGCGGCGGCGGCGGAGGAGAGGATCCCGGCGAGGAGGAGTCGAGGGCTTGGTATCGGGATCCGGCCCGGGAATTGAGCCGGATTTTCGCGCAGACGAGGGCGGGTCGTGTTGGGGGCTCCGTCGGGGGAGATTGGGCCGGGACCGGGTCGGGTCGGGTCTAGTCGGGCGGTGGCGATTGTGAAGACGATTATTAGGAGTAGAAATTGGGCGAATTTTTTATTCATTTGCTTTTCTTGTTTCTTTTCGACTTTTATTTTTTGGGTTTTTTGTGTTCGGTACTTATAATTGAAAAGCTGACAACTGACAAGGGATGGAATGAATTATTTTAGCAGTGAGTGAAGAGTTTGAAGAGGATTTTGCATGGCGGAGCGGATTCTTAAAAATAAATGCTTATTTTTTAATTAAAAGTTAAAATTTAAAAGGACAAAAAACTGGGCTTTTGTATTCTTTTTTCACATTTAAAGTGGGCTAACGCGTGCTTTTCCAGTGTTCATTTTGATAATGTTTTCTTTGTTAATAATTTGATAACAAAAAAAATATAAAAAAAATCCTCTGTTTTCCTTTCAATTTATGATAGAGTATGTTAAGTATCATACTATATGTTATATTCTTATTACATGTGTTAGCTAATTTTAGTATTGATTAATTTGGTTTTATATCCAATTTAATAATGAATGTATTATGAAAATTTGGGGAAGACCCAAATTGGATTTCAAAAAGATTGGGTTCATTTTTTAAGATAAATTATACAGCTAAACGTGGATTTTTAACTAAAGGGGTGTCAAGTAAATTAGATGAAGACCACGCTAGGTAACATAGTCCATAGTTCAATATTTATTAATGGAAATGTCTACAATTTCGTCACATAATGATTTCGTGAGGATTTTTAGCCATCAGATATACATGTAACTTACATGTATCTACAATAATTGAATATCTAATGACTAAAAATCCTATTATCTAGTTAGCAGCATGATATGTAGAAACAAAGAATATTAAAAATTTATAGTGAAAAAGAAAATTGTAAAAGTTATTTTTGTGAAACAAGACATTGATTTGTGGAACTTTCGTCTCTAAAGCCCTCCAGTTTATTGCAAATTGCAGAAACTCATTAACAACAAATCATATTTGCTATGGAGTCACTAGATTATACATAATAATTCAAAAATTGTATATGGGTATATTGATGTGTGTTCTAAAATAGTATTGATGTTTGTTCTAAAATAAAATATACTTAAGATATGCATCAACACATCAATTCATTATAACTCCACATAACTTTTGTATAACATATTGTGATATTAATATCAACTCCAAATTTAGAAAATAGTTTTTATTTGATACACTCTTATATATCTTGTTCACATTTGATCAGATGTATTTAATTATTTAATTTTAGTGTGTGTGTGCCTAACTACATGCTATCCTATAGAAACCAAGTACATTGCATGTTACAATATTTATACATGGACAAAAATTTTAATATATTTAAAGTAAAGCAACAGCTGGTGCTAGTCAAGGAGCTGCATAATTTAATTAGAATATGATAGTCCTGAATATGGACAAAATTAACGGGAAATTTNATATTTTTAAAGTACGCTTTTCATTAAAAAACGTATTTTCTAAATACGTTTTTTAATGAAAATTATATAAAAATCGTATTTAGAAAATACGTATTTTTTATTTTTGTTCACAACTTTTTTTTTGTTTTGTTTTTGTCCACTTCATTCTTTTTATATTTTTTTTAAGTAAAAAAATCCAAAATTAACTTAAATCTAACATTCTATCCTATCCTAGAGAAACCAAGTAAATTTCATGTTACATTATATACATGGACAAAGATTTAAATTAATTTTGTCCCTATTCAAGATGACCATATTATAATTAAATTATGCAGCTCCTTTACTAGCACTAGTTGTTGCTTTACTTCAAATATATCTAAATAAAATTTCTTTCCTAAAAATGTAAAAAATAAAATAAAACATGGGAAAATAACAAAATGTTTCACCAACACTTAGTAAAATAATTTACCCAATAGTTACAACATCATTTCAATTAGTGCAATGTCTACTCAGATCTGATTAATCTTTTACGTGCTTGGATAAAAATAAAATAAAAAATCTTTGAAATGCAAACCAATTAATAGGCAAATCAAAAGATGCGATTAACTTCACTAACATTTTCTTTTAAACTTGATCTTGTGTTTAAGGCGGCCTAGAATATATATACCTGATAAAATAAATTTTCAGGTTAAATCCTATAAATTACTGGTCACTTTAATTTTTCTTATTCTCTTCTTATAAGTATCATTTTAAGTGGCAATATATAGTTGTTAAATTAAATGATAATGTTTCTTATATAGTGAACCGGATCAACTTGGTAATTAATTAATAAGCTTAATTTAGATAATTTGGGTGGTTGAAAAGCTCGAATAAATGAACTTAGAGGTCGATAGAAAGTTGTTTGTCGGAATAATTAACTCGCTAAGCTAGCGTTTAACATCTTTAAACAACTGATTGTGAATCCAATAATCGGACAGTAGTTCAAAAACTGAAATAAAAAGATTAAAACAAAAGAAAATAGCTGAAAAAAGTTGCATGATTAATTTACAATCAAATCAATTAAGTATAAAAATATCACTAGCCTAGTTATTTATAATTTATATCATATCATCAGAATTTTAAATAATATATACACATAGTGGCCTTATCTATACTATACAGTAACAATCACGTAGCCATTTATTTCTGTAAAATATATGAAACACAATTACATCAGTATGATTGGAAATTAGTGTAACTGGTGCTAAGTGCAACTAGCTAATCCCTAATGTCCCATGCTCTATCACAAAAATAAAATAAAAATAAAATATGAATTAAATGCAAGTAATGATTAATTCAACACGAAAAAAATTAAAAAATAAAAAAATTTGTGTAGTTCTGATTAAAATTTAACCATTTAATATAATATTCCAAATTTTCGACCCCTTTGATAATTTTTGTTCAATTTCTTAATTGGTAAAGGATTATGGAACTCGGTACTAAGGGCCATTATTCACATAAGAAAAAATGCTTTTCCAGTAAGATTAATGGGCCGGCTCAATACCTCACACTTTATCCTGCTTTTGGGCTACCCACTTACTACAATGGGCTTCTTTGGTTTAGCCATAAATGATTTTCAATTCCAACTGAGTTCCTTTTAGTTTCATGTGATAAAAGATCAATAATAACAAGAGCAAGAGGTGAAAAGTATATCAAAAACTTGCTTAATTACAACTTTGGTATAACTTTACAAGTCCTAGCAAATATGATCTTAGAAAATAATAATAACTACGGTACGAAAATGATTAAATTTCTACCACAATTTTTTTTTCTAACAACGTTCCAACAAAGTTAGTCCTTTGAAATGAACCTTCTATTAGAAGTTTCATTGGAATTTAACAATTACAACGACAGTTTTTTCTATATTTCAATTTTCACAAACAAAACAATTGTAACGAAAATTCTTATGATAATAAACTTGTTGGAAAAATTATGGTTAAAATCATCGAACTTTAAATAAAATTAATTTCTAACATGATATTGTAGTTTTGCTCTCTATTGAATTTCTCAACCAAAATTATACCAATCAAATAATGAAATATTCGTTGTAATACACGTTAGAATATTTTTCATAACTAGTGCGTGGCCCGTGCGATGCACGGGAAAACAATATTATGATTGTATTACAAATTAAATATATAAATAATATTAATCATGATTTATCCATTGTTTTTAAATTAAACCGGGTTGGACACTGTCCGACTGGATGGACCGAGAACGGTTTATAACCAGTATAGTTTGCTTGAATAAAATATTTGCTCTCGAATCCCTCAACACCAGTCGGTTGGATCGGTAAGATCGATACGATTTTTTAAATAAATTTTGTTATATTTAACATTATTTTTTACATATTTAAATAAAATAGAGATTTATAAATTATCTATCAATTAGTTTAAACATTTGAATTTATAAATTGTTTAGATATCTAAGTAACACATTATTTATATTTATTAAAATAGCTTGATAAAATAGCTTGATCGTTTCGATGACAGTCCAATTCTAAAAACCTTATATTTACTTTACATTAATAAATATTATAATAAAATATTATTTAATTCACATAAATATTAATAAAATGATATATAAGTATTCATAAATCATTCGACATGTTGTTATAAAAGTATTGTTAATAAGATTATTTGAAGTTTGGACTACATCACATTCACGTAATAAAGTACCTTATTACGGTCCAATTCTCGAAAACTTTATATTTACTGTACATTAATAAATATTATAATAGAATATAATTTAATTCACATAAATATTAATAAAATGGTATATAAATATTCATAAATCATTAAACATGTTCTCGTAAAAGTGTTGTTAATACAATTACTTGAAGTTTGGACTATATCACATTCACGCAATAAAATATTTTAAATATAAAATTTATATTTAGGTTCAATAATCAATTTAGTGTGGTAGAACTGATACATAACTTAGTCATCTGGGACCAACCAAGTGGTGTCAAGTTTTTTTACTATTTTAAATATCACCTAAAAGTAATTCAATCAAACTGGGCAGTACCCTAATTCAATCACCCGATTGATACGAAGAAATTTTCTTATTTTCTGTAAATATATTTAATTTTATGAAATAAAAATATTTTATGATTCATATAATAAATATCTACACCAAATGATAGCATATTAAGATTATAAATTATATATCTAAAGATGAATTAATTATTTTTATTTTATGCATATTAGTAAAAAATAAACACATTAATTTTTAAAAAATTAAGATTACTTGATTGATTATGCAATTTAAAGAATATTTTTAGCTTTCAATATTTTTTTTTAAAGGCACAAATATAAAGACCGAGATTTTAAATCTTTTGTTATATTTTGAATTGAGTTTTTAGAAATATAGAGAGCGAGATTTTAATGTTGTTCATTGTTTCTAAGAAAAAAAATAAAAACAAAAATATACACACTTAATAAATCTTAGCCGCATTTTTTAAATAATAAAATGAACAAAAGCCCGAAATTTAAGGTAACATTTAATGTTGTATGATTTTTAAAGAAAAAAATAAAAGAAAAAAATAACACTTACTACTTATAGGCTGCATTAAATTCTGACTTATTTTTTTGTTACTATTTTTAGTAAATGGTAATTCTTATTATATATATATATATATAGATAAAGATATTTGTAGATAGAATAGGAAGGAATGTTCAATATGTTAGGAATATTATACAAACTAACAAAAGAGTAAAAAAAAATAATAAAATAAAATAAAACCCAGCAACCCCATAAAAAATGAAATAGAATATTATTATTAATTAGCTGAAATAAACCGGACA